AAAAAAAAAAAAAAAAAAGGAAAGAAATTTGCTGAATAAACAATAAAACACTTGACTCATAATTTTAACAGGCATCAGTGTCTGTTAAATAGATTTATCATACCAAGTGCCTTAAACTATGTCCAGTTTAGGGAAACTCAGAGTTTAACAGATGATTATTTCAACAGTTTATTCAGCTTACCCTCATCAGCAAGCATGCCTGAACACAGATACCAAAACAATTAGTAGGAACTGTAAAAGTTATGTCATTTGTGTCACTAACTTCAAGCCTCATCCCATGCATTAAAAGCCACACAAATATTTAAAACAGCAAAAGTGAACTAAATAAATTGCACATACTTTAGTTAACGGAAAGCCTACCCATGTGATGCATTTATTTTAAAAGATCGATAGCAAACAAGATGGGACACTGGCCTTGTGTAGACTCCTTAATTAGATATATCCAAGGACAATGGGACCTAGAAACCTAACTCCAAGACTACTTTTATTTTAGTTCCTTTTTCTACTGTTCATATTTCATGTATGTTGGTTTATTTAGTTTCTTCCTTTAAAGAGCTACTTGTTAAAAAGAATCAGGATCTCCATGAGATCATTAATAGCTAAAAAGGCATTTAAGTTTTTTTCCCTCAGGGAACCCATGGGTACTACACCAATGGGTTAGAGTCAAAGTCTCTCTCTTCCTGGTCTTCCTCAGCTGAAAATACCTTGAAGAAACCATCGACAGATCTTTCTTGTGGAATTAATCTACTCTCTTCCAAGCAATCACTCCATCCCTCCTTCTTCAAGAAAATATGCCAATTCTTTTTAAAAACCAAATACTTTGTTTGAACAGATAATATCATTCTGGAACCCAGAAGATTTTCATGGTCTCAATCAATGTGGAGGTCAGAGTAATTCATTTAGAACACGAAGAACGTTCCTGCCTCATAAGAAGAAAATCTTGATAGGATTTCCTGTTCTGATTTGAATTAGTCAAACAGCATATTGTATTTTCAACACACACACTCACGTGCTCACATAAACACACTTCAAAGAAAGAAACAAAGAAAAATGTTCTGCACAACTGGCCATATGGGAAACTGGAAGGTCTACGAGAAACTATCAACCTTTCACAAATCAAACTCACTGCTTTTTAAATTCCCCAATTATTCAGGCCTTCTAATCAGCTGAGATGCCCTGTGATCAAGATTTACTTCAGTTATGAGATGGGCCTAATGATGAACATGGACAATGTTCCTTGTGCTTTTGTTTTTACACTCCTGATTCAGGCTTTCAACACGTCTTTCCAAAACAAACAGCCCACCATCACTATCTCAAATATCACTGCCTGACTGTGACTACATCATAGCCTTCTTACAGCAAAGTATAGTTCTTTCATCAAAGATATATTTAAGAAATAGCTCATCCCCAGAAGTCAGTTTTCTGCTTCTCCTGGCTTCCCTCTCACCCCTCCACCCTACCTCACATCCAACTTGGGTGCTTTGTTGGGACGAAGTACAGCTCTACTACCTGGGACTATACCTTGCTTCTGAGTAATTTTACTACCTGCACCTCAGTTTCTTCACCTGTATCTGGCTAAGGAGTTTCTGTGACCTATGGCTCTGCACCTGGTTTACAAGGATATCATGTGTCAGTCTTACTACTTTTAGCAACCATCTAGACAACAGTTTTTTCTTGTCTTACCTTACTCTGAAGGGAGAAACAGGACCCAGTCTTTGGTCCTAGGAGGCCCCAGAGCCTCATAGCCATTAGTCAATAAAGGAATTCCAGGAAAGAACCAGACCTTGCACACCCAAATGCTTCTCACTCCATCGTACTCCTGAGGATCTTATCAACAGGAAACAAAAGCCCTATACTGCTATAATGAAGTATCTGGCTTTTATTTTCTAATTAGAAAACCTCAAAGATTGTAGCCCAGGGAACAGCTAAATATTTAGAATGTTAAAGAAATTACTAAGACCCAGCTGCCCACCATTGCCCCACCCCCGTTGCCCTGTTGTTTATCCTGAACATTTCAGAAGAAAAAAGTTTTGGTGGCCAAAACTACAGCAATGGAGATGTACAAGCACCCGCTGAGACCTCCCTCTCTTGAAGTGCAGTCTGACCATTTTGGGGAAAAAATAGGAGCTGTTGTGTTTACAGATAAATGCTGCCCTCAGCTCCTATCCCAGGACAGGCACCAAAATAATACAGACACATCTGATTCCTTGACATTCAGATTGCTTCAGTAAAGGCCTGGATGCTACTATCGTACGCTTCACAACTAACTTCCCTTTCTAAAGTTCTCATTCTTTCAAGTTACCAGCAGCCACTTTCATTTCTTGCAATTCAACCTACTCTGATTAAGGACATGCTCACAGTACAGTGGGGGAAAGTAGCTATTTTGAAAGAGAGGCATTTAATTTTTGCTTACTTATCTTGGCAGATGAAAGGCACTGCATCCTTCAGCATTTAAATCATCAGCACACTTCCCAGCCCAGCGATGGGCCGCCCCTTTTAGCTCCATTTAATGGCTTTTCCTCCCTCCCTCTCTTAAACTTTCAAGCCGCTTCAATTCTGAGCCATCATCAAAAGTTCAAGGAAAGGCTGTCCGCTGGACCTCTGCTCCCTAAATCTCTCACTAAAGGCACTGACGAATTTTGAAAACTGAACCCCACAAGTTTCTTTCCTACTCCCCACTTCTATGACTGCTTAGAAAGGGCTTGAAATAGGCTTAGGATCAAAACTAAGTACTGACAACGGCACTCAGGCTTCCACACTCACCTGACAGGGGTCAGGCACTCAGTTGCCAGAGTATGCCCAGCCAGGAATGCCAATCCCGCTCCTCTGTTTTCAGCTCCTGAATATTAAGGAAAGAAAGACTGCCTGAGTATGAGACCACAGAAAGGTCTCCAACAGAAATGCTTCAAAATCGTTTCTACCCTTTTTAGCCTCCTTCTCTAGAGGGACACCAACCTCCCCAAACTTGGCTGGCAAGTTGATGAGATCAGCTGAGCGAAGATTACAGATAACTGCGCTGATTTCCAGCGCACTGACAAGTGACACCAGGCACTCACAAACTTCGAACGTGCCGAAGGCTGGAACTAAGGGAAGCGTTTGGCAGATCCCAAAGCACTTGCTTCCCTGCGTGGAGGCCAAGTATACGAAACAGGCATCCTCACTGGGCGCGAGCCTAGTCCATACTTCCCTTACAGCGGCTCCCCCGGCTTTCTTCCGTTTTTTAAAACCCTCCCCACAGGGGCCCCCACGCATGCACTATTCTCCCAACCACTGCAGCGCAAGAGAGGGCTACATTTTTAGAAAGAGTGTTTCCTTCACCCGACTCTACATATAACACACTCTCAAAGCCCCCTCAAAAAAAAAAAAAAAAAAAAACTATTTCCAGCAGCTGCTCCAACATTTTCCAACTTGGGGAAATGCCATTCCAGTTCAAACTGGGAGCCCTCAAAGCCAAGCACTGGAATCGAGGACATGTGGGTATTTTTAAGCCTTAAATGAGACCACCCCCAAAAAAATGCCTTCAGTAAAAGAACCCCCAAACACATGCCAAGTGCATGCATATTCAGCAAGAACTCCCTAAAAGCAGGGCAAAAACTTCAGTGCCGGGGGACCAGAGCTCCCTGCACCCTCTGCCCAGCCCCAGCCTCTACCTTAGTGCCCGGGGAGCCACTCCGGTTTGGGGGAGCAGGACGAGGAGAGGGGTTAGTAGCCGCTGGGTAATCCCATGTCCGCGAAGAGTGAGCTCGTTCCGTTAGGATGGAAGCGGAGAACACCCACACCACCTCCCGGCGTGCGCTTTCTCTCTCTCCGCCCCCTACCTCCTCCTCCTCCACCACCTCCTCCTCCACCTCCTCCTCTCCTCCCACCCCAGCGAGCTTGTGGAAACGCTTCAGCAGAACATCCACATGGTTACTGCACTTTGAAGCGGCTGTCGGTAGCTTATATAGGCCGGGACGCTCCCTGGGCAATGTAGTCCAAGTTCCGGGCCGTGCCGGCGCCTGGGGCAGCTGGGTGGGACTACAAGTCCCAGCATGCCCCGGGCTCCCGGGCTGGGCTCTAAATAGCCGCGCGCGGGGACGGGGGAGGGGCGTCCTGCAGGCTGCGGGTCGGTGGGTCGTTGTTGGTCTGCAGTTCTGGTTGTCCGCTGGACTTGGAACGGGTGACCCAAAGCTACCCCCCTGGGGCGTCCCCAAACCCTCGGAGCTGTTCTCCTCCGGCTGCCCCCATTTCCTGGAATCTAGGTGTCACTGGGAGCCAGGGAGGAGGGAGGAGCTCGGGTTTCTGCTTTGGGAAGTTTTTAGGAGCTGTTACCCACCCCAGCTCCTTGTGTACCGAGCCAAGAATTCCAGCAATCTCGGGCACAAAAAACTCCAGTGTTTGCGGTAAAGGATTAAAGGCTCGAGATTGTCTTTATTTAATCTGCTCTACCTGGGCTAGCGCTTGCATGAAAAAACTTAAGTCTGAGAGCGACGGTCCACGCGAGCGGAAACACGGGCAAGCCCCTTGGGTCACCCGGACTGCGTGTCTTTCGTCGCCCAGTGGGAGGTAAAGAAACGCACGCCTTTCTCGTGCGCAAATGAAGAAACCTTTTAATTTGCCAACGCTGAGATTGGGAGACAGAAAGTAAATACGAACTGTGACCTCGATCTTGACCCTGGTTCTAGCAGCTCCTCTGCTTCTGGAAGCTGTAAATGTTTAAGTAAATAAACCGCAAGCCAGAAAAATAAGAGGTTCTAACAGAGCCGCTCACTCGGATGTGTGCTCTCCACAAGAGACACCCTCCCCCGGCATCTCTAACAGGGGCACCGAGGGTGAAGTGGATTTCAAACCACTGCCAAGCAGCGTCTGGGTTTCTAGGCTGCAAGGTGTCTTGGACTTTGACTTTTGGAAGAAGGGGAAAGGCTTCTTACATCGGAGACAGTCAACCTGCTGCCCTTTCTGCCTAAGATGACGCGTATTCATTCCACAAATGTTTCCTGGCTGCCAACCACCCGGGAAATAGTGGTGAGCCAAAAAAGATCACAGCTACCCAGCCACTCACTGCCAGCCACCGCATAAGATCTCCTAATAACAATAATAATAATGATAATAAACTGATTTTATTGTGCGCAGACCACATGCACTTTTCATGCATGGTGCTATTGAGTTTTACCAACTCCAGATGTATTTATTCCCTGTATTTGACAGCTGCTCCCCAGAGGGCTGCGAGAAATCAGGTAACTTCTCAAGATGACACAGTTAAGTGGTTGCAGCCTGGAATCCAGTTCTAGTCTGTGAGTGAACTAAGCCCTTGTCTTTGGGAATATCCGTCCCTGCCTCATTAAACTGCTTCCCACTCCATTTTTATGAGCAGTCGCTGAGCGCTTGGGCAACTCATTTTCACCTCCTTGTCCCTGTTTTCCCATCTTAGAATGGGAGATACTCAGGATTTGCATACATTCAATCTTGACTGATAGAAGAGTCTTGCTTGAAGAATCTTGTGTAACTTAGGAACAAATTAGGGAGACAATAATTATTACTAACATAATGCCCAAACTAATAATGATGTCTGACATTTATTGGGTGTGTCCCATGTGCTAGGCATTGTTTAAGCAATATATTGATATATAGAGATATAGATGTTTACAGAAAATCCTATTAATGAACCATTTTTTCCCTATAAGAAAACAGAGATCTAGAGGTTACTTCCCCAAGTCCCGCTGGTGGCTGGACTACCTGACTTCTGAGCCCTTGACCTTAATTACCTTCTGTTGCCTCACTGATATAAGCATATGCATTGTATTTAACTGTTTACACTGAGCATTTAAACTAGCCCAGGAATGGGCAAAGCTCTGAAGGCAACAAAGTTTGGGTTCACTGTGTTCGCACTTTCCCCTCCTCTCTCAGCACTATCCCCTAACCTGGTCCTTAGTGCTTTGAGCCACCCCTCCATCACCAAGAAAACTCCCCATCTCCCTACAGCAAAGGATCCCATCTCTAATTTTCAAATGATATTTTATTCTACCTTTCAAGCAAATTCAGCTATTTAACTGGTAAATAGCAAGGAATAATTATTGCATGTGCTTTTAACTAAAAAGCCCACTGGAATTTTAACATGGGTCTTTTGAAGAATACTTGGTCACATCTGAGAGCCAGCTCTGGGCAATTTTTCTTCTCACCGTGCGGTGGATGCTTTAGATGTGCTTTATCCACTATCTTCCCTCCCACAGCAGAAGTTTGAAGGCAGGGACTGTGTTTTATTTATGTTTGTACTCCCTACTTGCCCTAACCCCGCTTGACTTAGTCTTCTGTCTGCACATTTAGTAGATGTGTAAAAAAAACAAAAAAGTTAAAACATTTTCGGGAAAGATGTGTCAGGCATACAGCAGGCAAGCTTTGCACCCCACTTGCATTGTAACCTGTTTGCTCTCTCTCTGCTTACATGGTCATTCTTTTCAACATTTTGAAAGTTCTAGAATCTGCTAGGTCACTAGAAAGTAATTTGGGGAATTTTGTTTTGTTTTGTTTTTTGGCTTTTGGGGTTTTTTTCCGGTACCGGAAATCGAACTCACGACCTTGCGCTTGCCAGGCAGGTGCTGTGCCGCTGAGCTAAATCCCCAGCTCCCAATTTGGGGAATTTTGCTATGATGTGAAGAGGTTCCTATGACGGGGTACAACTGATAACCGACGATGATGAATGTCAAAATAAAAAAGTTCACTTGCACCCTCATTCTCCATTATCTGTACTGGGCAGGAAGTTGCTTTTTCTTTACCATGTTTTTTCCCTGGAAGAATTTTCTACACCTGCCTTTAGGCAGTTAAAATGTGGCTAGTTTTAACTGAGATGTAAAACACACATTGAATTTGAAACATAGTACAAAAAAGCAAAATGTCTCACGAATAACTTGTATATTAGTCTGAGGATGTAGCCCAGTGGTAGAGTGCTTGCCTAATATGCATAAGGTCCTGGGTTGGATCACCAGCACTGCAGTAATAATAATTTATATGTTGAAATTATAATGTTTTAGGTATATTGTACTAAATAAAATAGGCTATTTAAATTAATTTTTCTTGTTTTTACTTTTTTAATGTGACCACTAGGAAATTAAAAATTACATATGCAGCTTATAGTATATTCCACTGGGCTGTTCTGATCTAGAAAACCAACAATCTGATTCTCCAGATTATAATTCATGATGATGACCAGCAGCGAAAAGTGCCACTTAGGACTACGTCTTTAAAATGCCCATGCAGAGAAGCTGGAGGACTTTGCAGAGACAGTACAGCAGTATAGACTGAGCAGAAGTCTGAAGAAGGTCCAAAACGAGCACATCAGCCTACCTCCACGGAAGCCCTACATATAGAAACAGGTGTTGTCAGCAGCTGAAAACTGCAACTGAATTCATCTGCCTAGAAGCCCACACTCAAGTGCTGTCCTGATTAAAAGAGCAAGATGCACTGGAGAAACCAGGACTCAGGAAAAGTAGGCTTCACATGCAGCTCCACCCCAAATATATAGGTTGTGTGCATGTGCATGTGTGTATAGAGAGTAATGCCACTAATCCTGGCTTTGCCAACCTAGCGGGTCAGTGAGTTTTAGGACACAAAGGGCTTTGAAAGCTCACCTGGGTTAGACCAAAATAAGAGAACATTATCAACAAGGATCAAGAAAATGTTGATGTATCCTGATATAATATTCAGCTCCATACCAAACCTTAGGTTATTGGAACAGCTCTACTCCAAAGTTCTCCCAAGCACAAGACTTCAATTGCCTATGAATGTCAAAAGTGAGTCTTGAGGGCTTTGGTTAGTAGCATCTCGTAAGTAACCCTTTTTTGTTTTTGTTTTTCATTTCTGTACTGGGGCTTGAGGCCAGAGTCTCATGTGTATTAGGAAGTCTACCACTGAGCTGCTCCCCTAACCCATTTTATTTTATTTTATTTTATTTTATTTTATTTTATTTTAAACAGGCTCTCACTGAATTGCCCAGGCTGGTCTACCTTCTAAAATAGCTGGGATTACAGGCAGCTAAATCACTCTTACATGGCAAGACAGAATGTCCAAAACCCAAGTCATCCAATTCAATCTGGGTTTTGGTCCTGACTTACTACATGGTATGATAAGCTGCCATTTACCATGAGAAAGATTAGTAAAGAGAAAGGGCTATGCAGTTACAGTACTCATTGTTAACCTTCTGTGGTGGAGGGATGGAGCCATAGTCCTCTTGACAGTTTTATAAGTTCAAAGACATTAGCCACAGCTCAACACAGACATTCCCAATTTTAGCACCATTCCTTGGAGTTTTTTATGCTGATCCCCTCCCCAAACTCACTCCTTGACACCTTTGAACTTGAAAATCTTTTAGATCTATCTTTTTGTGATTTTTTGTCTCATCAGCCAGAAACACTCTTTAAAACAGGAACTAGGTCTTATAGTAGGGTACCTTTTATAGCATCTAGTTCAGATAAAATAAAGGATAATATTCAGGATTTGCTGCCTATTAGGACGGTAAGAGTTGCCAGAAGAAATGACCTCTAGATACACTGTACCGCTACTTGACATGGAACAGTGTAATTGGTATTCACAGGTTGGATAGAAAATAATTGGGTATGGAGCTAGAAAAAGTAAAGTGTTTACTAAGTGCAGGCTTTGGGTATCCTGGAAGGCTAAAAGAAGACACTAATAAGTAGAGGTCCTAGTTTTGTTGTTCTAACTCTGAAGGACAGAAGAGGCTGGTGAGAAACTTTTTGAATAAAAGAAATTTGGACAAATTGCCAAAGACTTAAGACCAGGAAGGCAGGATAGTAGCTACAAAAGAATGCAAAACTTAGGTTGGGTGTGTAGTTTAGTGGGGTGCTTGCCTAACATGCACAAGGCCTAAGGTTTGAGGCAGCACTGAAGAAGAAGCA